CCGGCGAGCCACGCCTCCCCCGCAGACGTCTGGTGGCGCCGCACCGCGTGCAGCTCCTGCAGCCGCAGCAGCATCTTCGCCCGCTCCTGCTCAGTCGTGGCGCGCGCGTCGACAACTGTTTTGTGCAGCTGCTCCAGCTCGCGCCGCAGCGCGCTGTCACACTCCTGCTGCAGCGCGGCGGCCGTCCCCCGCATCTCAGTCGACTTCTCGCGCAGCCAGCGTGCAACGTACGGAAAGGCGCGGGAGGTGGCGACGCTCAGGTACAGCGACTTGTTCGCCGGGCTCATCTCCACTGGGCTGCCGTTGGAATTGACCATCTTCGGCTCACTACCAGCAGCGCCCTCCGCCACACCGGCGCTGTTGTTGTTGTTGTTAACATCATCCACGAACGTAAGCGTCTTGGAACGACTGCGACGTGCACTCATCTCCGTCACGGCCTCCACGTCTCTGTGTGCGTGCGATCTTATCGGTCCCCAAAGAGAGAGACAGAGACAGAGAGACAGAGCGAATTTGAGGAGAACGGCGTGGGTGCCATTGCAGGCGGTGCGTCCCGTTGCCGCGCCACACAAACCCACAGATATATATATATATATATATATAGTGTGAGAGAGCCGTTTGAAAACATATTCGATCATCACACAAGATCGACGCACAAGTAAAGAAACACAACAACAACAACGACAACACAAACAACAACAGGTCGAACGCACACACGTTCAGGTGAAGGACACGCGGTGACCCCACTGTTCTTCTTGTTGCTTGCCTGCTTTGCGGCTTGTGTGAGCCTGCGCACGCGTCGGGAGGGCACACACATGGCGGGGGAGGAAGACAATCGAGCAAGTGACAAAGCAAAACAAACCAAACAACGAGGAAGCAACCAAAAAAAAAAACCAGGACGGTTGCCAGGGCCACACATACTCTTCACGCGCCTCACACAGCCCCTTTGTACCACGCCGTTCTTCCAAATCCCAACTTCCCCCCCCCTCTCTCTCTCTATATATATATATATATATATGTATTCTTTTGTATCGGATGGTCCCGATCTTTACACCCAGATGCACTTTTTGAGCAGAAGCGTGCAGCAGACAGTGAGGCACGCGGCGATGGCGTGGTCAAGCAGCTTCACACTCACGCGGAGCAGCACGGTGTCGCCAAAGTGGAGACGTATGTACCTGGCAGGGGCATCCGCGACCGGGGCTACTGCTGCTGCCGCCGCCTTGACTTGCTCCTCTCGTGACGGCGTGGATGAAGGGTCCACGGCGTCTTCAGGCGGCAACACTTCACCACCTCGCTGCTGCTGTGATACGGCGCTGTGCTCACACTTCACCACCACTGGTGGCACTGCTGCTGCCGCTGGGCTGGCACCGCCGTCGCCAGCCTCCTCCTTCGCGTGCGCCTCCCCATCGGTCTGCGCCACCGTCCCCTGTCCTTTTCGTGGTGCCGCGGCTT